TCCTGGACGGTTCAGGTCCGGTAACTTGTGTCGCCATCTAGTCCTGCACGGTTCAGGTCCGGTAACTTGTGTCTCCATCTAGTCCTGGACGGTTCGGGGTCCGGTAACTTGTGTCTCCATCTAGTCCTGGACAGTTCGGGGTCCGGTAACTTGTGTCGCCATCTAGTCCTGGACGGTTCGGGGTCCGGTAACTTGTGTCGCCATCTAGTCCTGGACGGTTCAGGTCCGGTAACTTGTGTCGCCATCTAGTCCTGCACAGTTCACTATAGTTATTTCTTTGCAAATCTGTAGCGCCTCCATCTTTCAAGAGCTTGACTCTCCTCCTGATCTGAAAGGTAAATTCATCTAGATCTGGTCTGCTCTCCGCCTGGCTAGGGTGTATAACAATCGACTCTTCCCTCCTCACAAAGACCCCAGCCCCAGCAGGCTGCTCCCCTTCCTGCCTCCCTCCCTGCAGCTGTGACCCTGACTTCGGGTGAACGGAACACTCAGAGATGCCTTCAGATGTCTTGTGGGCTGGACACCCCCCTCCCCAGTTGCCCCACCAGAGCCTGGAACCAATGAGGAGAGATAGGAGTGAGGCAGAGGATGAACAAAGGTCGGCCTTGTCCCTGCTGAAGAATGTGGCTCGGTGACCAATGACAGAGGTTTCCTCATCTCACACCCCTAACATAGATGGTGCCCCACCACCCAGACCCCTGAACACTAGGCTCTCCCAAAAGCAGGCCTTGAACTATTATTATTTATTTGTTATGATTGCTATTATTAATATCCTCTTTACCCTCCATCAATTACCAGCCCAGAGCCTGCAAATCTTATCAGGAATTACATTTGGCACAAACTGAGGTGGGGGGGGGCTCTCAATAAGAAGAGATTCCTCCATAGAGCAGAACAAACATTTTGGCATAGGAAGAAAAGAAGATTTAAAATTGAAATGGAGAAGGTGGAGCCAGTCTCCACCCTAGACTCCTGCTGCCCCCAGGTGGGGAAATCGTCAGCACCTGTTTGAATCCATCTCACCGCGGTTCACAACCTCCCTGCTCTCTGAGCACAACTGACTCCCGGGCACGGAGCAGGGGCTCAGCTCCCCATTGAAAGGAGTCTATCTGCTCAAAAAAGAAACCTGCTTTTATCTTAGGCATCTTGGGAAAACCCCTTTAATATCCCTCCTCCACCTCTAAACTCTTCTAAATTGGCACAAAGCGAGAGGTCAGGAGGGCCCCCTGCTGGGCTGCACTGCGGTGCCCTGGGCAGCAGCAAGTTCACAGCCCCCAGAGGCCCAGGAGGGTCAGAAACACTGTGGCCGGAGGAGACTGTGCCCAGACCCAGGACCCAGCCACAGCCACAGCAGCCAGGGTCACTTTCAGAAGGCAACATGTGACTCCCGCAAAGGCAGACAGTGACCTCTGAAATTCATGACAGCTTGAGCAGTGATGCATTCTCCCAGGAAGCCGTCAGCATTTGGACAGTTCCTGAAAGTTCTGGCTGACTCAAAGCAAACTTGTTTATTATCGCAAATCCCTGGGAATCCACCGGGACCATAAGATGCAGCACTTGCTCCTTACGTCCACGAGACAAAGCACAAAATTCAGGCTACAAAGGAACTTGGAGTTTGCAAAGTTCGAAAGAAGTGACAGTTTATTAAAAAATATAGGCTGTGCCGGGGAAGAAGTAATATCGGATTTTATGATTATTTCATACTGGGAATTGTTACATAGTTGCAGGCCTGTTTATTACATAACTACAGATTGCAATAATACGTTTTGTAGCTTGTAAAGTTCTGAACAAGCAATTTTTACATAGCTATGTTTAGTAGGTTTTCTTAGAAAGGGGGGGAATCTCATGTTAAGAAGAAAGAACATAAGCCTTTGGAAAAATAAAAACGGCAATATTTTTTACATAATTTCCTTACAGTTTGACAGAACCTGTTTTAACAGCATCCACACTAACACTCACCTGTATCAAATGGTTTTGCAACTAGGTCACTGGGTCATTAGCTGGAAATGGTCCTTCGTGAGTTTTGTAAAGCCAACAGATGGATGGTCAATCCCAGTAGCTCTCTTGAGATTGTGGAACTGTGGAATTCTTTTTTATAAATACACAAAAGTTCGTAAGCATCTCCTGTGGTTGGACGTGTTGGTGGGCACTGAGCATATGATTCTGAATAAAACACCACTTCGAGGTCTGTCCTTGCTGGACTTACAAATAAGGGAGAAACAAACATGAGAAACATAAGTTTATACCCTGAGCACACTTACCACAGAGAGCGTGTCTAGAAAGGGAAGTACCCGGACTATGAGGGCCCTGAAGAGGCTGTCAAAACAAAAACAAAAAACCAGCCAACCAGTTCAGTTCCCAGCTCTGGTTGGAACCCAGGCTTGTCGGTGGAGTGTGTGAGTCCCCATGTATGAAACAGCATTTCCATAAACAACGAGGCCTTAGTCCAAAATGGCATCCAAACCAGCTAATCCTATCAGGCGAACCCAAACCTCGTTAGCGCCATTCACAGCATTGGTAGGAGATACAAATCATAATAAATCTTCCATCAGAGCCACAGGCTCTTATCCTAAAGCACCTGTCAGCCTCCTAATACACCTGCAGTGCAGCCCCTTCCAGGAAGCCCTTTCATGGCAAATTAAAATAAATTACTCCCTTGGTTTCAGCAGAGGATGAGACGCAAACAAGATCATATCGGCGCTGTTCACCCTGGGTTTTAATAATGTCAGCCTCAGTGTTAGAACGCCTGTTTTAAGACACATGCACTCAGACCAGAAGACGACGTGCACGTTACTTTCTAGATGCTCCTTTGTCCAGTGGTATTTCCCCTGGGAAGAGCGAATGCCTGGCTGACCCGGGCAGGCCGGTGGGTGGGCACTGGAAGGGCAAACACACACATTTCAGGGCCAGATTTGAGCTGCCACAAGCCCCACTGTACTGACCTCTTGGAGCTAGAAATCTGCAGGCTCCTAATCCACTTCCAAGCCCTGTAAAATGAACTCACCTGAGACTGATGTGCAGAGCTCAGAGGGCAGGGATGCAGCCCCAGGGACGCCCTGGGTCAGGCAGGGAAAGTGAGGCCAGGAGCCATCAGGAAAATCCAAGGGAGTGGCCAGCCTACCCCGCTTCTCTGCCTGTGTCCTGGAAAGACTCAGGGCCACGTGCTTGGGAAGCTCTGTGGCTGACCAACCATCACACCCATATCACCTTCCCCTCAAAACAAACATAGCTCTAAACCAAGGCAGAAGGATGATCCCCAGAGATTTGTGACAAGTCACCCCCAAACCAGGCTGAAAGGCAGTTGGACCCTGTTATTCCAGGAACTGAGGGAAACTGCACATCTCAGGATATGACTCAGCCCTGAGAGAAGTTCCGAGGGTGATGGCACGCCACCATTGAAAAGTATGACAGCTGGTGGGGTCCTGAGCTCCACCTCTGTGTGAAACTGTGCCCCCACCAAAATATGCTGAAGTCCTAGTGCCCAGTACCTGTGGGTATGATCTCATCAGGAGACGTCCTTTGCAGATACAGTCAAGATGAGGCCATGCTGGGTTACAAAGGGTACTGACCCACTGACTAGCGTCCTGATGTAGCATAAGCAGAGAGAGATTTAGAGACAGAGTCACACAGGGAAGAAGAGAAGGTGAGAAGGACAGAGATCGGGGTGATGCCACCACAAGCCAGCAGGCGCCAGGATTGCCAGCAACCACCTCAAACCGGGCAGAGCAAGGAAGCTTCTTCCCTCGACCTCCAGAGCAGTGAGTGGATCTCAACCTTCCTAAAGCTGCGGCCCTTAATATAGTTCCTGAGGGTCACGACCCACAGGTTGAGAACCGCTGCTGCAGAGGGAGTGTGGCCCTGCTGACACTTGGTCTCAGACCTCTGGCCCTAGTGCTGTGATGGAATGAAATCCCATAGTTTCACATCACTTAGTCTGTTGTTATTGTGACAACAGCCACCAAACACTCATCCCTCCTCTAAGCCGGGCACCACGTTTTGTTGCACAGCACGTGTGCATATTTACACGAGGTTTATACACACAAGCAGAGGAATCAGAAACAACCAGGGACCATGACAACAACTGAAATCCCAGCTACAGCACCAATGTGGGGAGAGGGAGGGAGGGCCAGGAAGATGAGCTAACCTTTCTGAATGCACAGGACTGTATATTTTGAATTTGGAACTGTGTAAATATTTTCTATAAGATATAAACATATAAAAACATTAAAAAATAAAAATGGCCATTCCTAAAAATCAAAACCAAACTGAAACAAAAGCTTAACAGCACATCAAGTTGGTGACACAACCACACAGAGAAAAAATTACTGAGACTAAATCTGAAAGAGCATTTTAACTGTGGAGCCTGGTGCCATGTGATAAAGCCAGTGGGCAGAGGGGTCTTAAACTGCACGTTATTTGTAGCAATGATGCCAGTACTCCTGGTGGGCTTCTCACTTCCCTCCCTGCAGAGGATCTGACATTGCTGCCTCCTTGACCAAAGTCTTGGCCTCCTGATCTGCAAGAAGAGTAGAAGTCCCTGCTCTACTGAGCTCAGGGTGGGCCATGTGATCGGATGTGGCAAAAAACAATGTGGGTGGAAGTGAGGTTGCGAGAAGTGGAGAAGCCGGTATCTAGTCCAGCAAGTCTGTTCCCTCTGCCAGACAATCACCCAAGCCCCAGAAACAGTCCTCCCCAGCCTGGGCCTCTGTGCCAAGCCCGGGAGGAGCAGGGTCACAGCTGACCCACGCTGGACACAGGGCAGGGGCACAAGACGGACACTGTGGCCGCACGTCACTGGGAAGTGAGGGCTGTTGTCTGCACGGCTTGTCTCTACTAAGGCTGCCTGGGTGAATAATGAGGAACACAGCTGTTAAATATTTACATAATGAGCAATGTGGTACTTGTGTTCTTAGGAACCAGGATCTTTGGTGCAAAAGAGAAACAAATAGAAATCAGATTAATTGAGTTTAATACCTTGTAATCTTTCATTTGAGTTGTTGTTATCATCAGTACAAGCTCATAATGTTTTTCTTTCTTAAAAGCACGTATTTCCTACCTCTGTTGAAAAGGCCTAAAGCCAATGACACTCCAAGAGCAATGAGCTCCCCGTGGCTCAGGTGAGGATCTAAATGCCATTTCTCCCTAGAGAGACCAAGGCCTATGGAAAAGTGGCTCCTTCCAGGTCTGGGGCAAGAAATGCTCAAGATGAGTTTAAGAACGTGTTATGGGCCTGACACCACACACAGACACACACACGCATGCACACAGACACACGCACACACAGACACACGCACACACACACACACACACGCATGCACACAGACACACGCACACACAGACACACACACACAC